CATTGACACAAAGCACAGAAGGTCAAAACACTGATTACATGCCCCATCTATGGCTCGTTGTAGTCATTGCCCCATATATTCTGAAACAGACCAGCGCTATACATGGCCTTTACCATGCTGAATCCCTATATTCCCACTGAAATGAGGGCATACGTTTTCATTGCAGCCTCATCTGCCAATATCTCTGACCTGCAGAGCTCCTCAAAGATGCTGGTGCTTGCCTTACTATTGCATTTCCTAATGTCTGGGTGAAAAGAGTGTCTGTTAGACCTTCCCAGCGGGGTCTAGTCAGGAGGTGGCTGAGGAGTTTGCTCATAATGGATCCATTCCTATTTTCCCAAACCTTGCGTTTCTTTGCTTACAGTATGCTAGAGAATTTCTGGCATTTCAACCTCATTAACTCTGTGTTATTGTGGAGTCCTGGCTTTCAGTAGCTGACCTTTTCAAACTGTTAGCACTATCCCCATTATTCCAGCCAGCGTGTTTTATTCCAAACCCTGGAGGAGTGCGCCCATGCCAGTGATTTTGGCTTGATTGAGTATATTTTATCCCCATAGGCTTAACACTTGTAGAATCTATACCTTCAGCTGCTCCCTAGACTTCTGCTGATACATGTTGGCAAAATCATGCAAGTCTGTTAGGGAATAGGCTGCCTCCTCCTGGGGCAGGCTGGTGCTGCTCTCTCAGAGGTATGTTCCAGTTTCTATTGGTACATCACAAAACTCTCCAAAACAACAATTAAATGGATTTGAGAGGGAATGGGAGAGGGATTGCAGAAGTGAGTGTAGAGAATTCCTTTGAAGAGATTTGTTGTAAAAGAGGGCAGAGCAATATAGCAGCGGTCATAAGGTGTGAGATGAAGAGAGACGTTGAAGATGAAAGAAATAAAAAGTAGCATGGTTGCATGCTGTTGGGAATGATCCAGTAGTAAGAGATAAATACAGTATAGATATATAGATGTATATAGTATATAGATCTGTAGTATAGTATACAGATCTATAGTATACTATCTATGTCTGTGTATCTATATATCTATATACTATATCCATATCTACATGTGATGATGTTTAAGAGATTTTAAAGGATTTATTGCAAAATGGAGACATCGCCTTAGGTCTTAGACAGGAGCATGGACATTCATCTAGGCCAGAGTAATAAGAGGGAAGGCAGAGTATGCTGGTAGGTGGGAAGATATGGTAGAGAGAATCTAGAAGTCTCTTTTGCTTGCTTCAGTTTTCTCAGTAAAGTAGGAAATAAGGTTATCAGCTGAGGATGACTATGGGAGAAGGTACTGAGTAGGAAGAAGACACTGTGACCTATTGAAATAAGAAAAAAGAAGAGTGAATGGTCTAGGGGACTATAGTATGAGTTGCTGGCACTATTGAGGGTCCCAGCATTAAGTTTTTTTTTTTTAAGTAAGCTCCATGCCCAACGTGGAGCCCAGTGTGGGGCCTCAACCCATGACCCTGAGATCAAGACCTGAGCAGAAATCAAGAATCGGATGCTTAACCAACTGAGCCACCCTGGCGCCTCCCAGCATTAAGATTTTTGATCATGAATTTAAAATCAGAAGAACCATTATTCTTACGGGTTTTCCTCTACCCACATTCAGTGGTAGGGACGTAGGCACACAGTGGGGGAGATGTGCATTTAAGGGAGAGTTTGTAGTTTAGTCAAGCAAATGACAATGCAAAAGAAGAGCAAGGGAGTTTGAGGGTGTTTTCTAGGGTATTATTATAATGAATAATCACGGTATTTCATCTGGTATGGAGACTAAAGTGAACAGTAGGGGATGAGGCACAGTGAAATATTAGCAAAATTAATGGATTCTACATTCTTAAGGGGGGGTCAGAGGTTTGATGGAGTTGGGTTACTAAAAGGAGCTGGGTGGAAAGATGGGATTTGGTGGTCAGGGAGCAAGATACATAAGATGATACTAGTAATAACAGTTTCTATGGTGTGACCTGGGAGTGCACAACTGGGGAATAAGGACGTTGGAGGAGAGAAGGTCAAGGTAGTCAAAGGCCAGCGTGTTGGGAAAAGCACCTGTGTGTGTATTGAATTCACCATGAAGCAAGACCGAAGTGGTGTTAGAGAGAGTGATGGTGTACCAGGAACTAAAATTACTCATAAATGGTGCAGGAGGGTCCTGGAGTCTAAAGTTAGCATCAATAAGAGGCAGGCAGTGATAAAGTCTGATGACATGAAATTCAAAGTTGAGATCTTAGTGGGGAAATTAGTAGTAGATGATCCACTTTGGGATGTTCACATTTTGTGGTGGTTTCTCCTCCCAGAATAAGCAATTTCAGAATGTGAAATTCCCCAGTGTCTCCTTAAGGAAAAAAACATTTCCATAAAGACTTTTCACACTTTAAACACAAGAGGGCGCCAGAGTCTAGCAAGGGATTATTTTTGCTTTTCAGCTAAAGCTAGGACAACCATAGTTACTTTCGAGAGTGAAAGCGGGGGGACACAAGGGGCAAGAAAAAACTCAGTATATAGCAAATACCATATTCTTTTGAATCTAAAATTCATCGTTTTATTATTATTTTATATACCAACAATATAATCCCTGTTAATTGAACTGAAAAAAAGTTTCCCCTTTACTTAGAATTTTTATTTTCTACTTATTGAACTTTGATTAGAGGTTTTTAGAGGTTTTTTTTTTTAATTGTATGTTACTTTGTGCATGCCAAAAAAGAAAAATAAAAAAAATAAAAATTAATTGGCTAAGTTATTCCTAAAACTTCACTTTCAGAGACTAACTCTTCCGCATCACTTTTGACTCAGTCATGGATGTCTTTGGTCCTTCACACAATAGTGACCTCTGTGCCTTCAAGGATATTGGGAACACAGCTACTTAAAAGAATCCATAAAGGAACCGAAAGCCATTGTTGCTGGGCTGGGCAGCGGTTTTTCAATTATACAGAGCTGGCTTACACTAAACACCCAGGGACATTGCTAAATATATCACATCCCGTCCTTCTGAGGATTATGTGATTCCTCGAGGGAAAGAGTGGTCCATTACTGTTTCAGCGATTTTCATCCAAATTACCGATAACCATTCTGTAAGTTTTGATCTATAAGTTTTTGACACTGTTAACGTTCAGGCCTGCACAGGCAATGACAAGTGTGCCATGATTGCCACCTGGCCAACAGGAATTGTAAGATGCCATTGATTAAAAAACTCACCGTGATTTTAGTGATGTTAAGATGGAAGAAAAATGTGCATCTTAGAATCAACAAATATGGTAGGGCGCCTGGGTGGCTCAGTTGGTTAAGCACCTGCCTTCAGCTCAGGTCATGATCCTGGAGTCCCGGGATCGAGTCCCGCATCGGGCTCCCTGCTCAGCGGGGAGTCTGCTTCTCCCTCTGACCCTCACCCTCTCATGCTCTCTCTATCTCATTCTCTCTCTCAAATAAACAAAATATTTAAAAAAAAAATCAACAAATATGGTAGATGATTTTTATTAAGGCCCGATTTAAGCCTCTTGTTTCTATCTTTCCCAGGAAGCACGAGAATTTCCAAACTGTTAAAAGTAGAAATAAATATTGTAATGAGCAAATGAAAACCAAGGTAGAAAAGGAAAGAGTAAGAGAACACTAAACAAAAAATGATGATGATCTCTAAACGTAAATGTTACCTCCCCTGTGAAGCTTCCACCCCTCACCTCTGCTTACTAGGAGGGAGAGGAGAAGAAGCGTGGGCTCTGAGTTCTGGGACTTCCTAGCTGTTAGTCCCAGAGAAATTTACCAAATGTCTTTGATCCTGATTCCTTCCCTATAAAATAGGAATAATGGCGTTCACCTTTCCTAGTGTTCGTGAGGGTTAAATGTGATTATATCTCAGCAAAGTTTCTTTTTCTTTTCCTTTGGTGGTTCTAGAATAAAGGTAATACTGGGGACAAGGTGTAGGATGGTATGGGTTGGATTAGAGAAGTCAGTGTTCTTGACAGAGAATAGTTAGAAAACAGATATAAGGTAATAAAGGGCTAAGCCATGGTAAGGTCAGAGGTTATGGAAAAAGACAGACTCCTTCAACATTGTAAAGGAAGAAGTAATGGGACTGGTGACCACATACAAAGGAACGATAAGAGTACCTTTATAAATGTGGAAAACAAGGGTAAATTTTCAGAAAGAAGTATACATCTGTAGGTTGTTTATATTTTTAGTTTAATTTTATTGTTGTTTATACCAAGTGAGTTGGAATTAGTATCTATATCAGAAGATAGTGTGGAGAAAAGTTTACTTTTTCAAGAGAGAAAAGAACTTTTTGCAACTCAAAGTATAACTGGAATGCATTGCTCATAGGGGTTTAACTCTTAGGTATTATAATATTAGAATCTTGGCTTTTCCAAATAAATCTGGTAAGAGTTAAGCAACACATACCTAGAGGGATAATGTATAGACTGATGAGCTGGAATGTTGCAGTCTGCTGGGCTCTTTGGGAGACTTTTCATAGAGAAGAGCCCAAGACACAAACAGGTTGTGCTTCAGGAAGGAGGACAGGAAGTCAAGTTCTCTGCCAGTGCACTTGAAGGGAACAACTACAGGAATTTTTTTTTTCATGTTTTTTAATGTGTCACTGCTGGTAAATATGCTTCAGGAGAGGATGAACAACTCCTGGCCAAGGAGGAAGCAGCTTTAAAGAAAGCAAAGCCAAAACAAAGAATTGGCAGGACTCTTCAGAGGCTGGGTAGTATTGTTCAGGCCAGCCTGGCCTTCCTGTCTCATGGGATTCTCAAACATTTTTTGTTTTTAACTGACAAATATTGTAACAGTTTAGGACCTGGATTTCATGTCTATTTCCATGCAGAACCCACTACTCTAATTCTGAAATCAAGTACTCCCTATTAGCATCCTAATCCTCCCAGCCAATGCCTCTAAAACAATGAAATGAATTCCTCTCTGATGGAGAGAATAATGAGTCCGCTTCACCAGAAACAACCAGAGTCCTTTATTCCTTTAAAGCACTTTCAACTATCCCCCTTTATTTGTAGGCAACAGAACAAATAAAATGGAGCTATCTTGCTCAGCCATGTGAGGACAAATGATCCAGAGCCTAAAATATACTGAAGATGTGCAGCACTTTCACACACATGGACCCATGTGGCAACTGTGGGTGAGCAAATTCATGCTCAGGCTGTTGACTGTTGAATATCTATAGCAAAATTATTCTGTGTCCAAATGCTACGCTAAGCAAATACAGTCAATTTTACATACCTGTTATTCTCGTAGCAGGGGAATGCTTTGCTTAAATTCTTTGGGGAGGGGGCAGTGGTTTTGTTGGCTCTTTTATTTTTATTTTTTTAAAGCTTTTATTTATTTGAAAGAGAGAGTGAGAGAGAGAGCACGAGTGGGGTGAGGGGCAGAGGGAGAAGCAGACTCCCTGATGATCGTGACCTGAGCCGAAGGCAGACACTTAACTGACTGAGCCACCCAGGCGCCCCCATGTTGGCTCTTTTAGAAGAAACAAAATTCTTTCCCACTTGAGAAGAAAACTAGAGAAATAGAGAAGAGGAAGGAGAAGATTTGCAAAGTGATTAAAAGAAAAAACAATTGTATTTAGAGGGTTTGGAACGAAACCTTCTTTCAGGTTTGGAACTAAAACTCCTTTGGTGTAGCTGCTGGTTTTTTTTTTTTTTTAATGTGCAGAATACATGTTTTATTTTTTTTCTTAAGTTTAATTTCAGGAAAATTTTCTTGAGTTGCAGACTTTTTAAAATATATTTTGTTCTATTTCCTTACTTTGGTTCTTCAAGGACTTCTATAATTCATATGTTCACTGTTCTTCATACAATTTTAATAATTGTCACTTATTCTCAAATATTTAACTCTTTATTTACTTCTTAAGTTTTTCTCCTCTCATTTTTAATATTCTATTTATTTTGAGTCATCATCTGTTATCTTAATTTACTCTTGTGCTTTTTATAATTTAATTGCTCTGCATCCGTTTTCTCAGGTACATGTTTCTGGCCTGCTTTCACTATTAGTAGGAACGTTAGTCTGCAACTTATTACCTTTTTTTTTTTTTTTTTTTTATGGTGTGAAAATAGAGGGTAAGTATCTCAGGGTAATCTGTAAAATTTAACCTTGTGCCAATGGGATCAAATTTTATTTTGATACCATCAATAACATCTAGCTGTCCTTCTTTCTCAAGTTTAAAGAAAACCTGGTTTCTTAGGTGTAGCTCTCAAGTTATTTTGGAGCTCCAATTGTGAAACACTCTGATTAAGCCACTTTGAAGCAATAGTCTAACAGGTTGTTAACTACAACCTTATACTGGGAACCAGCCATGGTTGTCAGTTAGCTGCAGCCCCGGATCATTGAATCCAGTCGCTAGAAGCCAGTTGTCATTAACAGTTTACAAAACCTAAAAGAAGGGGCGCCTGGGTGGCTCAGTCGTTAAACGTCTGCCTTCGGCTCAGGTCATGATCCTGGGGTTCTGGGATCGAGCCCCGCAGCTGCTCTCTGCTCAGCGGGAAGCCTGCTTCTCCCTCTCCCACTCCCCCTGCTTGTGTTCCCTCTCTCACTGTGTCTCTCTCTGTCAAATAAATAAAATCTTTCAAAAAAAAAAAAAAACCTAAAAGAACAGGATTGCTTTCCCTCAGCAATTTCATCTCTTCATCATCTATTCAATTCCATCCCTCATTCTGTTCTCACCTCTCTAATTCTTGAATAATCTGCTATACAATCTTTTGAATCACCCTTAGTGTTTTCATTGGTTGTAGATGGAATCTCATTTTATTGGTGCTTTGCTGAACACCAGTTTCATTAAAATGATATTTAAATGGAATTTAATTTGGGTGGGAGTGAAAGAGAAAAGGGAAACTAAGGGGGGGTTTATGCTACTAAACTACTGAAACAAACAATTCTAAAGGTATAATCTCTTAAACTTATTGGGGAGGCATTAATGGACATTTTCCATTTAGTAGCATGTTGGGGGCACCCCATGGAATATTGCAGTTGATAAGACCCTTTCAGATAAACATGATAGTACTGCACCTATAGTCATGCTGTGATCTTAGCTTCTAAATTTTTTTATTTTTAAAGATTTTATTTATTTATTCATTTGAGAGAGGCAGAGACAGCGAC